CCACATCGCGAGATATTTCAGCTTCATCAGAATCAAAAACACAGAATAACATGTCATCAATAACAACCCATACATCCTGACCTCGCACTTCGTCCATCAACCATCCTTTCATATCACATTGGGAGAGATCACTGGCTAAAACATGTTTAGCTTTACCCTCTGAGAGACTTCGAGTTGGAGGATTGGGAGCAGGCTTCCTCTTGCTGCTCCTCATCCCATTAGAGGGACTGTAAATGTCTGTACCCATGGTTAGCGATTTATTACCATCTTTAACTGAATTGCGTCGACTTGATTGTGTGGTTGTAGGGGTACCACCTGAATTACCAATAAACCTTCTATCAGTAACATCATCCAACGTCTTCAGCTGAAAGTATAAAAAGAATCAAATAAGTTTATATTTCGTTCAATTAAAATCAATAAAAATAGTATTTATCGTCAATTAATGTTGCTTGTTAGCACCTTGAAGACTTAACGTTATCGTCATAGTAATAACACACATTTGCTAAGGAATGTACACAACAGTTTTCGATCCTGGTAGCATTATGCTAAATTATCATATTTCCAATTGTCACTATTTATACCTGCTTATAAACAAAAGTTGTTCATAAGACTTGTTATAAGTCCCAAGACGCTGTGGGGTGTTCAACACTTCAGACTAAACCTTTACACTCTATGATATGCACCCAATGATCGATGTTAATCGTCATAATTCACGTGGAAGAATTGAGAAATTTATTATCAACAAGCACGACCATCCATTCATTAATGTTATAATTGTCTGAGGCCTTCAAGCGAATTTATTAATCCATAACCGATTAGCTAAGCTCCAACGCTTCAGACATATTTGATACGATAGAATAAGCAAACGTTAATTTTGTTAAAAATCAACGAAGCAAAATAGTTTGAGCTAAAAGACATCCAGAATCGTGACTTTCAATGGCAAAGTCATTTCTTGGTCAAAATTAAGCTTTTTTCAATTTTTTAATAACTGGATTCTGCCACATGTTTATACTATGCAAATATATTTAAAATGGATCCTAGAAGCTTGAATGTCCAAGTTAGAAAGCCTGTCGTATACTGGCATCCACAATGGCAAAACTACTATTTCCATGAACCAATCGAAATGAACAAAATATGATTTGCTCTCAATTTGAAAAACAGACAATGTTATATCGATAGATCAGACCGAAGTGTTCAATCCAGTGTCTACAGTGGAATTATTGCTAGACCAATCTTGCAGCGAGATCTGAGAAATTGAAGAAGACATCACTTGACACTAAAACCAAATGTTATGTTGTAGGACATACTGGATTATACAGGTTCAACAACTTAATCCTATCTACTTGTCTATCTATAACACAAGTTGGGTTCTAACTCTACCATGCACGTGTCCTTCACTTATAAATCCAAACCCACATATTTTTTAAGTGGCTTATAGATGTGTTTAGAAAAGGGATATATTTAATGATCTTTCTATAACTTGTGGTTTATTAAGTGCTATTAAACTGTGTCATGCTGACCTTAGTTGGGCTATTACGGTCACAAGCAAATGCAGATCAAACTGCAAAGCAATTTCGTGCTTTTATCAGGAGATTAGTCAGTGACATTGTCATAGAGATATATTGAATGTTCTTTCTGTCACTTGTGATTTATTAAATGCCATTCAGCTATGTCATGCTGACCCAGGAGTTATGATTATTGGTCATAATCCAAACGAGATCAAGCTGCAAGGCGATGTGCTTTTCGTAATAAAATTGGTACCTATTATGCTGTCAGTGGCATTATCATTGTCAATTAATTTTATGCACAACGTTTCTTAAAGGCAACAACAAACGCACTCTTTAATAATTGTGAAGTAAGTTAACTTTATTCAATATGTGCGGAGGCTTTTTACTATTTTTTTTTATATTTTTTAAATATTACATTTCATCCTGCGGAGATAAGGTACAGACGAACACGAGCGTATATTTGGCCAAACAGTGTGAATACTAAATTTCCCTTGGTTTGCACAGGTGAGCTAAGCGGTATACATTTACGGGAATAAGATATCATTGTGTTTACCCCTGGGGGTTTATACGAGGGGTATACCACAATAGGGGCATTAACGGGGTTTATTCACAAGACAAGTTGTTAATAAAGGTATATAACATTGACGTAATACAGACTGTTAGCTTCTTAACCTGTCGCTTGTTTGAATCTCTTCTGTTGCATTGATATAGGTAATCTTGCAACACTTAGCTAACAATAGAAATTGTCACCTAATATATGACTTGATAGACCCATAGATTGAGACATTACGGAATTGGGCATGACAAACAGATACAAAAGAACACGGGCATATATTTAGGTCAATAAGCACACATTCAATACTGTATTATATTACTCAAAACAATGAAGTAAAAGTGCTCTAAAATAAGTTGTTAATTCTTTCTTTCAGATGATGAACACCTACTCGGGTTATGCACCTTTACTAGCTCTCTACAAAAGGAGTCTTATTTGGATTGCGTAAAATTATTTCTGATATTAACATGTTTGGTTATTGATACTGTATAAATAGGAGAAACAAAAGCTTTGTAAGATGATATGATAATTTAAAACAAGTTAGCTCATTCTCGATCTTAATCTTAAATAAACCGTCTTGGATCGATTCTCTTCTTTTCAAACAAATGTTAACGATTATAATCATGACCCCGTCTGTTGTCTGCCGCCAAGGGTCAAATTGACTTCATATTTGTCAACGTTGTCCAAACGTAGCAGCAAACACATCAATTATCAGCAACGTGCGAAGTGAATACTTTACAGCATTTTTCAGGTTTAGATAACCATTCGCAGAATTTAACAAGAAAATGTTCAATGGTACTTATTTGTTTCTGGATCAACTAAAGCTGTGTCATTAGCGTCCATTATGAACTAGTTCATGCCTGACCATTATTTATCGTACATGATTTTATCAAGAATATAAGAATAGCTGTCTATGTTGGAAAGGTAGGCCCGTACCGTATTTATGTAGGATAATGCACATGTATCATCACAGACTACACAACCAGTTCTCAACAGGTTACACTAATATTGAATTTTTTCCATTTATGTCGCTCGTGAAAATCTAGCCTAAATAATTTGAATTTTGTTATTTCTTAACCCTAATCTCCATATTTTGGTTTCTAACTCTATCACAGGTATGAACGTGACAAAAAAAGTCCAGTAGATTCTATAATTATTAAGTTCCGTATTCGATTTCAAAAACGAATACAACTAATACTTGAATGATAATTTTTAAAAAGTAAGTGTGATGATAAGATTAACGTCAGAACATCCCTAACGATCTGTGAACAGGCGCATAGATCGATTGATAGATGAAAATAATTCATGAAAATGAACACAAAAATGTACGCTTAAGTCAGAGCTTAAGTCACGGAGCAATAGTAATGTAGTATCTGGTCGAGTGGTTTATTTTCTTCATGACAGAGTTTCTGTTATAAAGTTGTTGAAATCAACAGTGTCAGTTACGTATCATCTGTTTTTCAAAATAAACTGAAATTAATTAATTTTTGGTCTTGAAAAAACCCATTGAAAACAACAATTTCGATTGGTACAAGAAATGCCACAATACTCAATATCAGAATTGGTGAAGTAAGATTTTCTTTGAGATAGTGGTAGCAATATTTTATCAATGTAAAAAGATTTAGTTAACCCTGAGGGTATCACCATCTAAACTACCAATAAACCTAAAGTCTGTAATTTGGAGTATTGTTGTTCAAATCACTTCATTAACACTTTCTACACAAGGGACAAGGGCGTGTTCGGGGTAAAACTTACACCCTATAAATATAGATCCTCCGATTTCCCGTCTTTCGTAAGTGGTTTGGGTGAAAATTATGGGTTTATTACACCATAAACAACGTTCAGATGAAGAAGTCGATCTTTATGTCGAAGAATATGAAGACGGTAAGATGGTAATATTGTGTAATACCTTTGAGATCTAGCGCTGAATTAGAGGAATCAATACAAGCAGTAAGAAGCAGTGTAGGAGCCAAAAATCAAGTTTGACAAAAGAATAGGGAGATCTAATGAACAAGTAACCCATATATTTCATAATATACTATTACTGCTTAATTAAAATATTGTATACCATGACCCATTTATATATTTTTTTTTGCGGGGTTAAATTTGGAACAAAAATGAAGAACCAAAACCAGGAATTGACTGAATAGGACAAACATTCCGAACAAGACCAAAAATTGTACAGATGAGATGGGAAAGACTATAATATGACTGAGACAAAACATTGCTTGATATAGTAACGACTATCTGTACCAGATCAAAGATTAGCTGCAATGGGAAAGACGATCCGGGCCAAACATTGGTTGAAATGAGAAAGACATCTTAAACCAGACCAAAAATTGTATATGTAATATGAAATAGGAACAATTATCCGCGCCAGACAAAACATTGGTTGAAAAGGGAAAGACTATCTGTGCAAGATAAAACATTGGATGGAATAGGACAGACGAACTGTACCAGACCAAACATTGGTTGAAATAGGAAAGACTGTCTGTGCAAGATAAAACATTGGCTGAAATAGGACAGACGATCTGTACCAGACCAAACACTGCTTGAAATAGAAAAGACTGTCTGTCACAGACAAAACATCGGTTGAAGTAGAAAGGAATGTCTAAATCGGATTAATCTGAAACAGGCCAAAACATAGGTTGAAACGAGAAAACATACGCCCACTGGCAGCTGTTAGAAATGATAAAACAGTCTTTAGTGACTAAAGTATGTATTTTCTCATATTAAAGAAATTTTAATAGTTTGAATTCATTGATATATATATATTTACTGCCAGTTATTTATGCTGACAAATTCCACCAAATTTTAAAAAATCAATATCAATAATCCAAACAAATTTCATTTAATCAATTGAAAACTGTAGTCTCTATTGTGTTCACAAACAATTTTGGACGTGTGTTTCCTAAGTCAAGGGCAATAACTCAAAAGCCGTTCATCGAAAGATCGTCAAATTAGAACTTGACCAAGATCTCATCAATTTAAATGAACACACAAAATTTCATTAAAATCAGTTGAAAACTGTAGACTCTATTGTGTTCACAAACAAATTTTGACGCGTTTTTCTTAAGTCAAGGGCAATAACTCAAAAACAGTTCAGTGAAAGATCGTCAAATTCGAACTTGACCAAGATCTCATCAATATAAATGATCACACCAAATTTTATTAAAATCAGTTGAAACTGTAGTCTCTATTGTGTTCACAAGAAATGTTGACGGACCGACGGACCAACGGACCGGGGCGACGGCAATATACGTCCACATTTCCATGTGGGCGTATAAAAATGTTTGAACCAGA